TCTCTCTCTGCAGGGTCTCTCTCTGCAGGGCGTCTCTCTCTGCAGGGTCTCTCTCTGCAGGTCTCTTCTGCACGGTCTCTCTCTCGCACGGTCTCTCTCTCCTGCACGGTCTCTCTCTGCACGGTTCTCTCTCTGCACGGTCTCTCTCTGCAGCGGTCTCTCTCTGCACGGTCTCTCTCTGCAGGGTCTCTCTCTGCACGGTCTCTCTCTCTGCAGGGTCTCTCTCTCTGCACGGTCTCTCTCTCAGCACGGTCTCTCTCAGCACGGTCTCTCTCAGGTCACGGTCTCTCTCTGCACGGTCTCTCTCTGCAGGGTCTCTCTCTGCAGGGTCTCTCTCAGCACGGTCTCTCTCTGCACGGTCTCTCTCTGCAGGGTCTCTCTCAGCACGGTCTCTCTCTGCACGGTCTCTCTCTGCAGGGTCTCTCTCAGCACGGTCTCTCTCTGCACAGTCTCTCTCTGCAGGGTCTCTCTCAGCACGGTCTCTCTCTGCAGGGTCTCTCTCTGCACGGTCTCTCTCTGCACGGTCTCTCTCTGCACGGTCTCTCTCTGCACGGTCTCTCTCTGCAAGGTCTTCTGCACGGCCTCTCCTCTCTGCACGGTGTCTCTCTTCACAGTCTCTCTCTGCACGGTCTCTCTATGCACGGTCTCTCTCTGCACGGTCTCTCTCTGCAGGGTCTCTCTCTGCACGGTCTCTCTCTGCAGGGTCTCTCTCTGCAGGGTCTCTCTCTGCAGGGTCTCTCTCTGCACGGTCTCTCTCTCAGCACGGTCTCTCTCTGCACGGTCTCTCTCTGCACGGTCTCTCTCTGCACGGTCTCTCTCTGCACGGTCTCTCTCTGCACGGTCTCTCTCTGCACGGTCTCTCTCTCTGTACGGTCTCTCTCTGCACGGTCTCTCTCAGCACGGTCTCTCTCTGCAGGGTCTCTCTCTGCACGGTCTCTCTCTGCACGGTCTCTCTCTCTGCACGGTCTCTCTCTGCACGGTCTCTCTCAGCACGGTCTCTCTCTGCACGGTCTCTCTCAGCACGGTCTCTCTCAGCACGGTCTCTCTCAGCACGGTCTCTCTCTGCAGGGTGTCTCTCTGCAGGGTCTCTCTCTGCACGGTCTCTCTCTCTGCACGGTCTCTCTCTGCACGGTCTCTCTCTGCACGGTCTCTCTCTGCAGGGTCTCTCTCTGCACGGTCTCTCTCGGCAGGGTCTCTCTCTGCAGGGTCTCTCTCTGCAGGGTCTCTCTCTGCACGGTCTCTTTCTCTGCACGGTCTCTCTCTGCACGGTCTCTCTCAGCACGGTCTCTCTCTGCACGGTCTCTCTCTGCAGGGTCTCTCTCTGCACGGTCTCTCTCTCTGCACGGTCTCTCTCTGCAGGGTCTCTCTCTGCAGTCTGGGTCTCTCTCTGCAGGGTCTCTCTCTGCACGGTCTCTCTCTGCAGGGTCTCTCTCTGCACGGTCTCTCTCTCTGCACGGTCTCTCTTTAGGGTCTCTCTCAGCACGGTCTCTCTCAGCACGGTCTCTCTCAGCACGGTCTCTCTCTGCACGGTCTCTCTCTGCACGGTCTCTCTCAGCACGGTCTCTCTCTGCAGGGTCTCTCTCTGCACGGTCTCTCTCTGCAGGGTCTCTCTCAGCACGGTCTCTCTCTGCACGGTCTCTCTCTGCAGGGTCTCTCTCAGCACGGTCTCTCTCTGCACGGTCTCTCTCTGCAGGGTCTCTCTCAGCACGGTCTCTCTCTGCACAGTCTCTCTCTGCACGGTCTCTCTCTGCACGGTCTCTCTCTGCACAGTCTCTCTCTGCAGGGTCTCTCTCAGCACGGTCTCTCTCAGCACGGTCTCTCTCAGCACGGTCTCTCTCTGCACGGTCTCTCTCTGCACGGTCTCTCTCTGCACGGTCTCTCTCTGCACGGTCTCTCTCTGCACGGTCTCTCTCAGCACGGTCTCTCTCTGCACGGTCTCTCTCTGCACGGTCTCTCTCTGCACGGTCTCTCTCTGCACGGTCTCTCTCTGCACGGTCTCTCTCTGCACGGTCTCTCTCTGCACGGTCTCTCTCAGCACGGTCTCTCTCAGCACGGTCTCTCTCTGCACGGTCTCTCTCTGCACGGTCTCTCTCTGCACGGTCTCTCTCTGCAGGGTCTCTCTCTGCACGGTCTCTCTCTGCAGGGTCTCTCTCAGCACGGTCTCTCTCAGCACGGTCTCTCTCTGCACGGTCTCTCTCTGCACGGTCTCTCTCTGCACGGTCTCTCTCTGCAGGGTCTCTCTCTGCACGGTCTCTCTCTGCAGGGTCTCTCTCAGCACGGTCTCTCTCTGCACGGTCTCTCTCTTTAGGGTCTCTCTCAGCACGGTCTCTCTCTGCAGGGTCTCTCTCTGCAGGGTCTCTCTCTGCACGGTCTCTCTCTGCAGGGTCTCTCTCAGCACGGTCTCTCTCAGCACGGTCTCTCTCTGCACGGTCTCTCTCTGCACGGTCTCTCTCTGCACGGTCTCTCTCTGCAGGGTCTCTCTCTGCACGGTCTCTCTCTGCAGGGTCTCTCTCAGCACGGTCTCTCTCAGCACGGTCTCTCTCTGCACGGTCTCTCTCTGCACGGTCTCTCTCAGCACGGTCTCTCTCTGCACGGTCTCTCTCTGCACGGTCTCTCTCTGCACGGTCTCTCTCTGCACGGTCTCTCTCTGCAGGGTCCCTCTCTGCAGGGTCTCTCTCTGCAGGCTCCCTCTCTCTGCACGGTCTCTCTCTGCAGGGTCTCTCTCTGCAGGGTCCCTCTCTGCAGGGTCTCTCTCTGCACGGTCTCTCTCTGCAGGGTCTCTCTCTCTGCACGGTCTCTCTATGCACGGTTTCTCTCTGCACGGTCTCTCTCTGCAGGGTCTCTCTCTGCACGGTCTCTCTCTGCAGGGTCTCTCTCAGCACGGTCTCTCTCTGCACAGTCTCTCTCTGCACGGTCTCTCTCTGCAGGGTCTCTCTCAGCACGGTCTCTCTCTGCAGGGTCTCTCTCTGCACGGTCTCTCTCAGCACGGTCTCTCTCTGCACGGTCTCTCTCTGCACGGTCTCTCTCTGCAGGGTCTCTCTCAGCACGGTCTCTCTCTGCAGGGTCTCTCTCTGCACGGTCTCTCTCAGCACGGTCTCTCTCAGCACGGTCTCTCTCAGCACGGTCTCTCTCTGCACGGTCTCTCTCTGCAAGGTCTCTCTCTGCACGGTCTCTCTCTGCACGGTCTCTCTCTCTGCACGGTCTCTCTCTGCACGGTCTCTCTCAGAACGGTCTCTCTCTGCACGGTCTCTCTCAGCACGGTCTCTCTCAGCACGGTCTCTCTCAGCACGGTCTCTCTCTGCAGGGTGTCTCTCTGCAGGGTCTCTCTCTGCACGGTCTCTCTCTCTGCACGGTCTCTCTCAGCACGGTCTCTCTCTGCACGGTCTCTCTCTGCAGGGTCTCTCTCTGCACGGTCTCTCTCTGCAGGGTCTCTCTCTGCAGGGTCTCTCTCTGCAGGGTCTCTCTGCACGGTCTCTCTCTCTGCACGGTCTCTCTCTGCACGGTCTCTCTCAGCACGGTCTCTCTCTGCACGGTCTCTCTCTGCAGGGTCTCTCTCTGCACGGTCTCTCTCTCTGCACGGTCTCTCTCTGCAGGGTCTCTCTCTGCACGGTCTCTCTCTGCACGGTCTCTCTCTGCAGGGTCTCTCTCTGCACGGTCTCTCTCTGCAGGGTCTCTCTCTGCACGGTCTCTCTCTCTGCACGGTCTCTCTTTAGGGTCTCTCTCAGCACGGTCTCTCTCAGCACGGTCTCTCTCTGCACGGTTTCTCTCTGCAGGGTCTCTCTCTGCAGGTTCTCTCTCTGCAGGGTCTCTCTCTGCACGGTCTCTCTCTGCAGGGTCTCTCTCAGCACGGTCTCTCTCTGCACGGTCTCTCTCTGCAGGGTCTCTCTCAGCACGGTCTCTCTCTGCACGGTCTCTCTCTGCAGGGTCTCTCTCAGCACGGTCTCTCTCTGCACAGTCTCTCTCTGCAGGGTCTCTCTCAGCACGGTCTCTCTCTGCACGGTCTCTCTCTGCACGGTCTCTCTCTGCACGGTCTCTCTCTGCACGGTCTCTCTCTGCAGGGTCTCTCTCTGCACGTCTCTCTCTGCACGGTCTCTCTCTGCACGGTCTCTCTCTGCACGGTCTCTCTCTGCAGGGTCTCTCTCAGCACGGTCTCTCTCAGCACGTCTCTCAGCACGGTCTCTCTCTGCACGGTCTCTCTCTGCACGGTCTCTCTCTGCAGGGTCTCTCTCTCCTGCACGGTCTCTCTCTGCAGGGTCTCTCTCAGCACGGTCTCTCTCAGCACGGTCTCTCTCTGCACGGTCTCTCTCTGCACGGTCTCTCTCTCTGCACGGTCTCTCTTTAGGGTCTCTCTCAGCACGGTCTCTCTCAGCACGGTCTCTCTCTGCACGGTTTCTCTCTGCACGGTCTCTCTCAGCACGGTCTCTCTCTGCACGGTCTCTCTCTGCACGGTCTCTCTCTGCACGGTCTCTCTCAGCACGGTCTCTCTCTGCACGGTCTCTCTCTGCAGGGTCTCTCTCAGCACGGTCTCTCTCTGCACGGTCTCTCTCTGCAGGGTCTCTCTCAGCACGGTCTCTCTCTGCACAGTCTCTCTCTGCAGGGTCTCTCTCAGCACGGTCTCTCTCTGCACGGTCTCTCTCTGCACGGTCTCTCTCTGCACGGTCTCTCTCTGCAGGGTCTCTCTCAGCACGGTCTCTCTCTGCACAGTCTCTCTCTGCACGGTCTCTCTCTGCACGGTCTCTCTCTGCACGGTCTCTCTCTGCAGGGTCTCTCTCAGCACGGTCTCTCTCAGCACGGTCTCTCTCTGCACGGTCTCTCTCTGCAGGGTCCCTCTCTGCAGGGTCTCTCTCAGCACGGTCTCTCTCTGCAGGGTCTCTCTCTGCAGGGTCTCTCTCAGCACAGTCTCTCTCTGCAGGGTCTCTCTCTGCAGGACTTAATCACAGCCACAGCTGGAGTCTTGCTAACGTCCCCCACCACCCTTTTTATGACGTGTTTTGTCAGATATGAAAAGACGGAGCGAGAAGAAGCCAAGCCTCTCTCCTGACGTTCTCCAGCTCTGCAGACACAGCCAGTCCAGGCCGGGCCGAGCTGAGTAATCGTCCACAAAGTAAACATTTCACCAGAGAATTATGATATTTCCACCGCTGAGAGATGGGCCCTGGACACAGCCTGGAGTTGGAGTGGAGAGGTCTGCTTTGGTTCAGCTCTGCGAGGAGGCAAGAAGCACAGGGGAGGCTTATACTGTGAGAACATCTGTTATTGTCTCTGTGAAGGAAGAGGAACAGGATCATAATCTCAAATTTAAACGGCCGGTGTTTAGAAAATCAAATGTTATTGGATTTGTATTGTCTTCAGCTGCTCTCCCACTTAAACATGTTGCTCAATTCACAAAAGTGTGCCGTGTTCAAAACCAGATTGTGTGTGTGTGTGTGTGTGTGTGTGTGTGTGTGTGAGAGTGTGTGTGTGTGTGTGTTTGTGTGTGAGAGTGTGTGTGTGCATGTGAGTGTATATTTATGCGTGTGTGAAAGTGAGTTTTTGGGGGTGTGTGTTTGTGCGTGAGTATCATTTCCTACATGTACGTCTTGTCTTACCATGTGTAACCTCTGGTCCATGGTCATTTCCTACATGTACGTCTGGTCTTACCATGTGTAAACTCTGGTCCATGATCATCTCCTACATGTACGTCTGGTCTTACCATGTGTAACCTCTGGTCCATGATCATTTCCTACATGTACGTCTGGTCTTACCATGTGTAAACTCTGGTCCATGATCATTTCCTACATGTACGTCTGGTCTTACCATGTGTAAACTCTGGTCCATGATCATTTCCTACATGTACGTCTGGTCTTACCATGTGTAAACTCTGGTCCATGATCATCTCCTACATGTACGTCTGGTCTTACCATGTGTAAACTCTGGTCCATGATCATTTCCTACATGTACGTCTGGTCTTACCATGTGTAAACTCTGGTCCATGATCATTTCCTACATGTACGTCTGGTCTTACCATGTGTAAACCCTGGTCCATGATCATTTCCTACATGTACGTCTGGTCGTACCATGTGTAAACTCTGGTCCATGATCATTTCCTACATGTACGTCTGGTCTTACCATGTGTAAACTCTGGTCCATGGTCATTTCCTACATGTACGTCTGGTCGTACCATGTGTAAACTCTGGTCCATGGTCATTTCCTACATGTACGTCTGGTCTTACCATGTGTAAACTCTGGTCCATGATCATTTCCTACATGTACGTCTGGTCTTACCATGTGTAAACTCTGGTCCATGATCATTTCCTACATGTACGTCTGGTCTTACCATGTGTAAACTCTGGTCCATGATCATTTCCTACATGTACGTCTGGTCTTACCATGTGTAAACCCTGGTCCATGATCATTTCCTACATGTACGTCTGGTCGTTACCATGTGTAAACTCTGGTCCATGATCATTTCCTACATGTACGTCTGGTCTTACCATGTGTAAACTCTGGTCCATGGTCATTTCCTACATGTACGTCTGGTCTTACCATGTGTAAACTCTGGTCCATGATCATTTCCTACATGTACGTCTGGTCTTACCATGTGTAAACCTGGTCCATGATCATTTCCTACATGTACGTCTGGTCTTACCATGTGTAAACTCTGGTCCATGATCATTTCCTACATGTACGTCTGGTCTTACCATGTGTAAACTCTGGTCCATGGTCATTTCCTACATGTACGTCTGGTCTTACCATGTGTAAACTCTGGTCCATGATCATTTCCTACATGTACGTCTGGTCTTACCATGTGTAAACTCTGGTCCATGATCATTTCCTACATGTACGTCTGGTCTTACCATGTGTAAACTCTGGTCCATGATCATTTCCTACATGTACGTCTGGTCTTACCATGTGTAAACTCTGGTCCATGGTAATTTCCTACATGTACGTCTGGTCTTACCATGTGTAAACTCTGGTCCATGGTAATTTCCTACATGTACGTCTGGTCTTACCATGTGTAAACTCTGGTCCATGATCATCTCCTACATGTACGTCTGGTCTTATCATGTGTAAACTCTGGTCCATGGTCATTTCCTACATGTACGTCTGGTCTTACCATGTGTAACCTCTGGTCCATGATCATTTCCTACATGTACGTCTGGTCTTACCATGTGTAAACTCTGGTCCATGATCATTTCCTACATGTACGTCTGGTCTTACCATGTGTAAACTCTGGTCCATGATCATTTCCTACATGTACGTCTGGTCTTACCATGTGTAAACTCTGGTCCATGATCATCTCCTACATGTACGTCTGGTCTTACCATGTGTAAACCCTGGTCCATGATCATTTCCTACATGTACGTCTGGTCTTACCATGTGTAAACTCTGGTCCATGATCATTTCCTACATGTACGTCTGGTCTTACCATGTGTGAACTCTGGTCCATGGTCATTTCCTACATGTACGTCTGGTCTTACCATGTGTAAACTCTGGTCCATGGTCATCTCCTAAATGTACGTCTGGGTCTGATCCTAGTGGCTGCAGTTTCCTCGGTTGAATCCTCTCCGACCAATCAGAGAGCGGGGGAGGCGGGTGTTGTAGGTCGGTGTCAGTGACGTCAAGAGTTTGTGCTGTTGCTGGTTGTAGTTTGTCGGAGAATGCGATAGTAAAATAATCTGTTCTGGTTCAATCCAAATATCAAGAAACTGAAGCCGGAGCAAGAGGAATGTTTAGTAAATGTCATTGAAGCAAATATGTTTTGGCTCTACTCCCCACGGGCTCCGTTAGTGGCAAAGGAGATGGCTAAAGCTAGGCTACATGCTAAAGCTAGGCTAAATGCTAAATGCCTCACTCACTCGGGCTCATTACATACGTCACAGTAAATTCAGATCCAATCGTTTCAATCTGCAAAAGGAGTTAGCCCCTCCCACCTGTCAACGGAGTCAATGAAGCCAATCCAGACCTTAGTACATTATGAAACGAGTACTATGATGTGGTAAGACAAGGCTACTTCTGGCCCGATGAATATCAGAAACACAAGTTTACAGTGTCATCCAGCCAACTTTAGCTCTGTCACATGTGAAACCATTTAGCACAGTAGTTTTACACTGACTTTAAGACTTTGGACACAGAGTTGTTCGTTCGCTCCGTGCTCTTCACATGTGGCTAAACCTGTGGATGAAAGCCTGATCCCGTCAGATCTCTGAAGTTAAGCAGGGCAAGGCCTGGTCAGTACTGCGATGAGAAACCTCTAGAAACACCCGGTGCCACAGCGTCTGCGGCTGTAAAATGCCGAATGTGTAGTCTCCTGGATCAATGCTTTTGTTATATTCTTTAAAAACGTTTCATTGTCATTGTCGCTAACCTAATTATTGCTGTACTTTTTTGGATAAAAGTTGCTATTTATAAATATTTCAAACTGAATCATGGCTTAAGTCCCACTGGTTCTTACATAATGGAGTTCCTGCATTTGAGACTCGAGCCTTTAAACTTTACATCATATTTTCAGCACTGCACAAACTCTCGCTCCACATTAACGTAAAAACCTGCTCCACATTAATGTAAAAACCTGCTCCACATTAATGTAAAAACCTGCTCCACATTAACGTAAAAACCTGCTCCACATTAATGTAAAAACCTGCTCCACTTTAATGTAAAAACCTGCTCCACATTAATGTAAAAACCTGCTCCACATTAATGTAAAAACCCGCTCCACATTAATGTAAAAACCTGCTCCACATTAATGTAAAAACCTGCTCCACATTAATGTAAAAACCCGCTCCACATTAATGTAAAAACCTGCTCCACTTTAATGTAAAAACCTGCTCCACATTAATGTAAAAACCCGCTCCACATTAATGTAAAAACCTGCTCCACATTAATGTAAAAACCTGCTCCACATTAATGTAAAAACCCGCTCCACATTAATGTAAAAACCTGCTCCACATTAATGTAAAAACCTGCTCCACATTAATGTAAAAACCCGCTCCACATTAATGTAAAAACCTGCTCCACATTAATGTAAAAACCTGCTCCACATTAATGTAAAAACCTGCTCCACATTAATGTAAAAACCTGCTCCACTTTAATGTAAAAACCTGCTCCACATTAATGTAAAAACCTGCTCCACTTTAATGTAAAAACCTGCTCCACATTAATGTAAAAACCTGCTCCACATTAATGTAAAAACCTGCTCCACTTAATGTAAAAACCTGCTCCACATTAATGTAAAAACCTGCTCCACATTAATGTAAAAACCCGCTCCACATTAATGTAAAAACCTGCTCCACTTTAATGTAAAAACCTGCTCCACTTTAATGTAAAAACCTGCTCCACATTAATGTAAAAACCCGCTCCACATTAATGTAAAAACCTGCTCCACATTAATGTAAAAACCTGCTCCACTTTAATGTAAAAACCTGCTCCACATTAATGTAAAAACCTGCTCCACATTAATGTAAAAACCTGCTCCACTTTAATGTAAAAACCTGCTCCACATTAATGTAAAAACCTGCTCCACATTAATGTAAAAACCTGCTCCACATTAATGTAAAAACCCGCTCCACATTAATGTAAAAACCCGCTCCACATTAATGTAAAAACCTGCTCCACATTAATGTAAAAACCTGCTCCACATTAATGTAAAAACCTGCTCCACATTAGAGTAAAAACCCGCGTCTCAGTGAAAAACCAGGCGCTGTAGAGTTTGAAAGGCTTGGTCTCAGTGTGAAGAGAGCGGAGCGTGGTACAGACTCCTCAGTTTGAGAATCCAGATGTTCAGGTTTAGTCTTTTATCCACAGAATGATTCTTTGTGATTCTGCAGAAGTGACTGTGCAAAGATTCTCAAGGTTATGAAACGAGAGTCATTTCCTGATTATTGTGCCTCATACTTTGATCCAAGTGACAAAAACAATCATTTTACAATAATAATAATAATAATAATAATAATAATAATAATAATAATCTCCTGGAGGTCCTGTTGTTGAAGCATCGTCGGGCGTCTTAAATATGATCCTTGTGAATGTGACATCACAAGGAAGGAAATAATATATACAGTATATAATGTTGGGGCGGCCGCAGTGCTAGAGCTTGAACTTCACAAGAAGAAGGTCCTGGGTTCGATTCCACCTCCAGAGGACTCCTTTTGTGTGGAGTTTGCATGTTCTCCATGTGTATGCGTAGGTTTCCTCTGGGTGCTCCGGTTTCCCTATACCGCTATTTACATGTACAATAGTTCAGGGTGACTGTGTTTGTGTGTGCGGCTGTGGTCATAGACTGGGCCTCACAGCGGTCAGGGACTGGGCCTCACAGCGGTCAGGGACTGGGCCTCACAGCGGTCACAGACTGGGCCTCACAGCGGTCATAGACTGGGCCTCACAGCGGTCATAGACTGGGCCTCACAGCGGTCACAGACTGTGCCTCACAGCGGTCAGGGACTGGGCCTCACAGCGGTCACAGACTGTGCCTCACAGCGGTCAGGGACTGGGCCTCACAGCGGTCATAGACTGGGCCTCACAGCGGTCACAGACTGGGCCTCACAGCGGTCACAGACTGGGCCTCACAGCGGTCATAGACTGGGCCTCACAGCGGTCACAGACTGTGCCTCACAGCGGTCAGGGACTGGGCCTCACAGCGGTCATAGACTGGGCCTCACAGCGGTCATAGACTGGGCCTCACAGCGGTCATAGACTGGGCCTCACAGCGGTCATAGACTGGGCCTCACAGCGGTCATAGACTGGGCCTCACAGCGGTCAGGGACTGGGCCTCACAGCGGTCATAGATTGGGCCTCACAGCGGTCACAGACTGGGCCTCACAGCGGTCATAGACTGGGCCTCACAGCGGTCATAGACTGGGCCTCACAGCGGTCATAGACTGGGCCTCACAGCGGTCATAGACTGGGCCTCACAGCGGTCATAGACTGGGCCTCACAGCGGTCATAGACTGGGCCTCACAGCGGTCATAGACTGGGCCTCACAGCGGTCATAGACTGGGCCTTCTGGTCTGTGGCTGTGGCTCACAGAGAGTGGGGGCTGCAGCTGAACCCCGGCCCCTCCCTCTGCCCCTCCCCCGGCCCCTCCCTCTGCCCCTCCCCCGGCCCCTCCCTCTGCCCTTCCCCCTCCCTCGGCCCCCGCCTGGTCCTCAGAGTGACGCGTGGGTGTGAGAGCTGAGGCCTGCTGTGTAAACAGAGGAACACACATGGGCCGCTGTGTCGGGACGTCCCACAGACACTTCATCACGGCGTTTACACGCCAGGGACGAGTGTGGAGTCAGCTGCACACGTGTGTTACCGAGACAAGGGTCCTGTCAAAACTCACTCTGTTCAGATCTTTTTTTTTCTTTTCAAATACAAAAGAAAATTGTGTTGTGTGTTAAAGTTGTATTTATTATTTTGAGGGCCCAAAGCAAACCTCTGAGGACCCCCAGTGGGCTCCCAAAATCACTTTAAAATTCCCATAAAGATGAAAAGCTCAGGCACAGGAGAGAAGCTCGGAGTAGAGCCGCTGCACCTCCAACTGAGAGCTGAAGAGAAGCACAGCCCTGGGTCTTGAGGGTCCGGGGTGGGGGAGGGGGGAGTTAGCACCGGGTGAACTCCAAACACAATCAGAACATCTTGGAAGTTCCTCTTTCCACTCTGACACTGCATGATTATAAGTATGCACTGTTTTTATCTCCCATCACAGCACTAACCAGGCCCTTCCCTGCTTAGCTTCAGAGGTCTGACAGTCTCTGCTTCCTGTGGCTCAGAGAATAGAATTTAAAGGAGCTCTGTCAAAGTACATCTGTGACATGTTAGTACCATATGAACCAACTCTGAGGAGCACAGGGACTGGCCTCCTGCTGGGACTCTGAGGAGCACAGGGACTGGCCTCCTGCTGGGACTCTGAGGAGCACAGGGACTGGCCTCCTGCTGGGACTCTGAGGAGCACAGGGACTGGCCTCCTGCTGGGACTCTGAGGAGCACAGGGACTGGCCTCCTGCTGGGACTTTGAGGAGCACAGGGACTGGCCTCCTGCTGGGACTCTGAGAAGCATAGGGACTGGCCTCCTGCTGGGACTCTGAGGAGCACAGGGACTGGCCTCCTGCTGGGACTCTGAGGAGCACAGGGACTGGCCTCCTGCTGGGACTCTGAGGAGCACAGGGACTGGCCTCCTGCTGGGACTTTGAGGAGCACAGGGACTGGCCTCCTGCTGGGACTCTGAGAAGCATAGGGACTGGCCTCCTGCTGGGACTCTGAGGAGCACAGGGACTGGCCTCCTGCTGGGACTCTGAGGAGCACAGGGACTGGACTCCTGCTGGGACTTTGAGGAGCACAGGGACTGGCCTCCTGCTGGTCCCAGAGGCAGCTTTTCAGAGTCATGCAAAAATCTGCAATCAGTCTTCCTGAAAATGTGAGACAGGCTTCTTCTCTGACAATGTTTAAATCCGGGTAAAAAACGGTTCTGTTTCTGCTACAACTGAGGGATTTTATTTTTACTCTTTTTAATGTATTGTGATTATTTATGCCTTTAATCCATTGTTTGATTGTCTTGTATGTGAACTGTGCTATACAGATAAACTGTCTGACTTCTCCCAATATCTATGGCTTCACTGTGGCTCTGCAGCTCGGCGTGGGCACCGTGGGTCTTGGAAAACTCCCACTTCCCTAATGCTGCGCAAACAAAAGGTCGATCCGTAAAGTTTTGCTTGTTGGCGTCAGACTGTTATTAACTTTATACCATTATTTACAAAGACAACAACATTCAGCCATGTGTGTTTACCGTCACATTGATAAAGACACAACTTCGTAAAAGTGGGACAAAGTAGTGGGTTAGAGGAGTGTTTTTCAACCTGTGGGCCGTGGCACGTTGGTGGGCCTTGAGATGTTTATTAGAGTGCCTTGGAAATGATCCAATGTCAGCTGCTTGGTCAAAATCATGTGAAAAGTAAATAGTTTGAGATGATTAGAAAGACCTTCTCCCCCAGATGCCCCGTCTGCTCTCTGCTGGTCCACAGTCTGCTCTCTGCTGGTCCACAGTCTGCTCTCTGCTGGTCCACAGTCTGCTCTCTGCTGGTCCACAGTCTGCTCTCTGCTGGTCCACAGTCTGCTCTCTGCTGGTCCACAGTCTGCTCTCTGCTGGTCCACAGTCTGCTCTCTGCTGGTCCACAGTCTGGTCTCTGCTGGTCCACAGTCTGCTCTCTGCTGGTCCACGGGCTGCTCTCTGCTGGTCCACAGTCTGCTCTCTGCTGGTCCACAGTCTGCTCTCTGCTGGTCCACAGTCTGGTCTCTGCTGGTCCACAGTCTGCTCTCTGCTGGTCCACGGGCTGCTCTCTGCTGGTCCACAGTCTGGTCTCTGCTGGTCCACAGTCTGCTATCTGCTGGTCCACAGTCTGCACTCCGCTGGTCCACAGTCTGGTCTCTGCTGGTCCACAGTCTGCTATCTGCTGGTCCACAGTCTGGTCTCTGCTGGTCCACAGTCTGCTCTCTGCTGGTCCACGGGCTGCTCTCTGCTGGTCCACAGTCTGCTCTCTGCTGGTCCACAGTCTGCTCTCTGCTGGTCCACAGTCTGCTCTCTGCTGGTCCACAGGCTGCTCTCTGCTGGTCCACAGTCTGCTCTCTGCTGGTCCACGGGCTGCTCTCTGCTGGTCCACAGTCTGCTCTCTGCTGGTCCACGGGCTGCTCTCTGCTGGTCCACAGTCTGCTCTCTGCGGGTCCACCGGCTGCTCTCTGCTGGTCCACAGTCTGCTCTCTGCTGGTCCACGGGCTGCTCTCTGCTGGTCCACAGTCTGCTCTCTGCCGGTCCACGGGCTGCTCTCTGCTGGTCCACAGTCTGCTCTCTGCCGGTCCACGGGCTGCTCTCCGCTGGTCCACAGTCTGGTATTTGTCCTGCAGCTGCCCTGGCTCTGCAGCCGACCTCTGACCCCCGGAAGTCCAGACATGTCTGTGGTGTGACCTCCCCCCCTGACCTGAGGATCGAGCCTGAACCCTGAGGACCGAGTCTGAACCCAGAGAACCGAGTCTCAACTCCGAGAACCGAGTCTGAACCCCGAGGACCGAGTCTGAACTCCGAGGACCGAGTCTGAACCCAGAGAACCGAGTCTGAACCCCGAGGACCGAGTCTGAACTCCGAGGACCGAGTCTGAACCCCGAGGACCGAGTCTGAACTCCGAGAACCGAGTCTGAACCCCGAGGACCGAGTCTGAACCCTGAGAACCGAGTCTGAACCCTGAGAACCGAGTCTGAACTCTGACGACCGAGCCTGAACCCTGAGGACCGAGTCTGAACCCAGAGGACCGAGTCTGAACCCCGAGAACCGAGTCTGAACCCTGAGGACCAAGTCTTCTAAACCAGCCAGGGACTTTCGAAGGACAAACAACATGCATTATTTCTGTATCAAAAACAGCTTTAACCTCCAGGAGTTAGACCTTCTCCCAAACTTGTCTGATAGGATTTTGTCGTGACTGATGTCGGCAACAAAAGTAAATGGTCTGAAACTGGCTCCATGTTTCTTCAGCCGCTCGACCGCTCCTGACCCAGAGGAGAAACACATTTTCCTCTACGCCACGTTTCACTTCGTCCCATTTTTCTTTATTAGCATTAATTTTGTCTAAAGCCTTTTCATGCAGATACAAACTCAATGTTGTGAATTTTTTCTATTGTGTTTCTTGTGAACCTGTGAACAAGTAATTGTTTAAGGACAGGTTAATTCAAATAAAAGATTCTACCACTTCTTGTGTGTTGTGATCTGAATACTTTTAAAAGATCAGTTTTAGAATTAGTGCTTATTAACTCTTCAATGGTTTCCTCAATCATTTTCTGGATCTACTTGAAGCTTGGAACTGAAATCTATCTCATTGGGGCATCTCTACCTTTTGTTTTAGGCACTTTTACCATCAAACATGCAGTTGGTAAAGGCCTGTAATTCAAAAACTAGGGGTTAAAAAAAAACGAAAATATTTGTGTTATTACTGCTCCTACATCTTAGAAAATCAAAAAAAAGACAAATAGGCATTGCTTTCTTCAAAGACTGAAAATGAAAGGGTGAAAAATAGAATAGGTTGTTTTTTTTTTTTTTTTTTGATATTGATATTTTTGATTGATTTGGCAAAACATTTCTTTTTTTTTTTTACATTTTTCATTTTACGTTTCTCACGCGCTTTGCACTTTCACCACACTCCCTAACGGCGCGCTGCTTCCATGGATCCAGACTCTTGCACTTTGAAGCCTCCTGAAAGCTGAGGACTCCTTCATTCCAACAGAAGTTTCTTTTCCACCGCGAAGGGACTATCACAAACATGGAGCCGGCCCCGCGTCTGGACCCGGCCCCGCGCCTGGACCCGGCCCCGTGAGAAGCTTGAGGATGACTCTGTGCCATGACTTCTTCCAACCGGGACTCGTCTCTGGCGCACGGGAAACTACGGCGCTCGCTCAGTGCGCATCTGCGGAGCTCCACCACCAAAGCCTGGGACGCGCTGTGGAGGAAGGTCCGGGAGCGCAGGCTGGCAGGTCAGTGTCTCCCCGAGTATGCCTCCTCTCGCCCGGCTGCAGGGCCCGGGGATCTGCCTATGGGTCTGGGTGCGTTACTTTGGTGAAATCTCAAGATATCACTCTTTAATAAAACTACCGCATTTTCACGATTGTAAGAAACGATACGATAAGACCAGATAGACTTTATTGATCTCACACTGGAGAAATTCACATTTGGCACAGATAGAATCACTCAGATTGTGCAAAAGACAGAAGTCACAGTTTTTTGTCATATATGTTTTCCCGGAGGTGCGGCTTTTACTCTGGAGCGACTTATGTGTGGAATTATTACATTTTATACTTTAAATCGTATATGTTATTTACCATAAAATATCATATAATACCCCAGAATATTAAATGAGGAAAATCCCAAATGTTTGGAAAGAACCGCCCTCTCCACATTGTCGTGCACGTATCACCAGAATGATTGACAGTTGGGAGGACCAAGTCTTGATGATCCACCCGGAAGTAGAAAATCCTCATATATACCTGTGAATTGAGCGATTAAGCCACTAAGAAGATCCCAAAGAATGAAAACATGTCCCAGTACTGATGACCACTGTGCATTTCAGGACTATAGCTTTTGTTGTTGTAGAATTAGACTATTTTTGAGCATTACCCACATTTTTGCTCCTACTCTTTATGAAAACTGCATCTCACCGATAATTCACAGTTAAAATGACTCAAGATGAAATGTCTATTCTCTGTGTTGGAGTTTATCAAAGACGTTTCCCCCAAAAATGTGACTTAAACTCTAGTCCGACTTATATATGTTTTTCTTTCTGTATTCAGCGTTTTTGGCTTCAGAGCGACATCATCTATAAAAACAAGGTATAATCGAAGCTGGACACTCATGAGGCAAACGCAAAGTGCTAAACAGGACTAGGGATGGAAGTCAAAGTCCTGTAATTTAGTAGAAAAAGATAGAATTTAACGGATATTTGTGTGTATTTTGTGTGCAGTAGATTATTGTGTATCTGTTGCATTTGTGTTCGTTCACTTCTGGATGTATTTTTGTTCCATTTGGATTCGGTTGTGTTTAGTAATTGATGGGAATATTAAAGGCGTTTTGGTCGGGTTAAGCCGTGATGATTGTAGAGACAAGAAAAAACTATGGCCCCAACAGATTTAGCCCAGAACGGCATAGTACAGCCTTAGACCTGTTTACATTGTTTAAGGAAATATGTTTTAAATCGGGGCCTGAATCAAATCTTATGTGTTTTTCTTTTTTGTTGTATTATTAATGTTATCAGTGCAGCGTGTTTTACCCATTTGTATAAAACAGTTCACACACAAGGCATTAAAGTCATTAATAATCACCGTACTTTAAAAAGAGTAATGATAAAATCCTTCAGTTGTTGCAGCTAAAAAGTCCTGTTTTTAATCTGGATTTGAAAATTGTCAGAGAAAAAGCCTGTCTCACATTTTCAAGAAGACTGTTCCAGATTTTAGCTGCATGAATCTGAAATGCAGCCTCTCCATGTTTAGTCCTGACTCTGGGACCAGCAGGAGTCCAGTCCCTGTGCTCCTCAGAGTCCCAGCAGGAGACCAGTCCCTGTGCTCCTCAGAGTCCCAGCAGGAGTCCAGTCCCTGTGCTCCTCAGAGTCCCAGCAGGAGGCCAGTCCCTGTGCTCCTCAGAGTCCCAGCAGGAGGCCAGTCCCTGTGGTCCTCAGAGTCCCGGCAGAAGACCAGTCCCTGTGCTCCTCAGAGTCCCAGCAGGAGGCCAGTCCCTGTGCTCCTCAGAGTCCCAGCAGGAGGCCAGTCCCTGTGCTCCTCATAGTCCCAGCAGGAGGCCAGTCCCTGTGCTCCTCAGAGTCCCAGCAGGAGGTCAGTCCCTGTGCTCCTCATAGTCCCAGCAGGAGGCCAGTCCCTGTGCTCCTCAGAGTCCCAGCAGGAGGCCAGTCCCTGTGCTCCTCAGAGTCCCAGCAGGAGGCCAGTCCCTGTGCTCCTCAGAGTCCCAACAGGAGGCCAGTCCCTGTGCTCCTCCCAGCAGGAGGCCAGTCCCTGTGCTCCTCAGAGTCCCAGCAGGAGGCCAGTCCCTGTGCTCCTCCCAGCAGGAGGCCAGTCCCTGTGCTCCTCAGAGTCCCAGCAGGAGGCCAGTCCCTGTGCTCCTCCCAGCAGGAGGCCAGTCCCTGTGCTCCTCAGAGTCCCAGCAGGAGGCCAGTCCCTGTGCTCCTCCCAGCAGGAGGCCAGTCCCTGTGCTCCTCAGAGTCCCAGCAGGAGGCCAGTCCCTGTGCTCCTCCCAGCAGGAGGCCAGTCCCTGTGCTCCTCAGAGTCCCAGCAGGAGGCCAGTCCCTGTGCTCCTCAGAGTCCCAGCAGGAGGCCAGTCCCTGTGCTCCTCAGAGTCCCAGCAGGAGTCCAGTCCCTGTGCTCCTCAGAGTCCCTGCAGGAGGCCAGTCCCTGTGCTCCTCAGAGTCCCAGCAGGAGGCCAGTCCCTGTGCTCCTCAGAGTCTCATTCCAAAGGAGACATTTCTGCATATTTTTAAAACAAGTTCATTTTGCTTTCGTCCCTTTGTTTTAGGACTGGGTCAGAATGTGCTTTTTTGCCAAATTTGAGCCATTTATTTACTTATTTTTCACAACTTTTTTGCAGTTTTTGCATTCAACTTTATGAATTGAATTGAAGTAATGTTATATATTTATTTTTACGAAGGTGGAATTTACCAAAAAGTCGGAAGTGAAGAGTCAGTTTCTTAAATCTGTGTGTTTGAGGATGTTCTGGGCGGAAGCTTTTTGGAAATATGAGTTTTAAAATAAATATTATATTCAGTTTTCTTCCAAAAGGTGGCGCTGAACAGACAAGAAGAGATAATATGATAAACACTTTGAGAAATGTTGAAATTCAAACATCTGTGGAAAAAAACTGCAGGATTTTGAAGTGAATTTCTCATATTTTGTTGATTATTGGGACTTGAAATGAGATCTGTGCCATTGTACTTTGTAAAGAGAGTTCCAGTAGATTGAGCCTCAAAGTCATGGATGATGACGTTGACTGATCACGTGTGGAGGAAGTGTTGCGTCAGAGGGAACAATGCGTTTCCTTCACTGGCCACAGGAGGGCGCTCCGACAACAGCATTTACACAGGTTACACACAGACAGAGCAGACGTGAGAGAGGCAGAAAAGTCTCACACTTAAAAATGTATTTCTGAAGGAGCTATACACGTTTTTGAATTGTGATTTTTTTTGTAGCTATCAAATTTAGAATTTTTATTGGTCTAATAATTAATTAATAGAGGTTAGTGATGTTCTGACTTCAACACAAATATTCTTTATATACCCGTTTTAGGTAGCTTTTTAAGATCTTTGAAAACACGTGACCTGAAATCGAATGTGTGTAATGATTGGAGAAATAAAGTGGCAGCTACTGACTATTTAATACTGTTTAATAACATTTTTATACTGAAGAAATCAGAAATCATAAACTGTCTTACTATGACTGTCAATGAGATCTGAAAAACAGTTCAACCATCTGTTATGTTCAAAACTGTCCAAAATATTTCTTAAAGATTTGATTTTGAGAAGCTACTTTTAACTGGTCTCCACAGACTCAGAGTGACCTGGTCCCACAGGGAAATGTCAGTGTTGCATCGTCAGCTACAGAACAGTAGGAATGAGGAGCATAGATAAATGAACAATAACTACTAAAATAACATAAAATCTCTAACGTGAGCAAAAACAGAAGCACGTGTAAATCTGTTTGTTCTGACTTTATATTGTGTTGTGTTTTATCTTTGTTATATTTATATTCTCTTAGAAGCAGTTGATGTTTTAGTCTGTGAGTGATTGTAAATATTCTCACAGTTCCATAACCACAGAGTAACCATTAACCCGTGTTCTACAGGAGAGGGACCAGGTGGAATGTGACCAGGTGTCAAAGTGTCGCTTTAAACCATAATCTTCTATTGTGTTTGTGTCTTAGAACATACTGTACATCAGGAGTGTTCTGACCGAGTGTGACATCACCCGACTGTTAGCCGGAGTGAAGCCAATTTTAACATAAGCTAGCTGGAGTCCGTTTCTTTATAGGGGGCATATCGTTCGAGGAGTTAGGCGGTTGCTAAGGTGGTTGCTAAGGTGGTTGCTAAGGTGGTTGCTAAGGCGGTTGCTAAGGCGGTTGCTAAGGCGGTTGCTAAGGCGGTTGCAAAGGCGGTTGCTAAGGCGGTTGCTATGGTGATTGCTAAGGCCGTCTCCTCCTCCACTTTCTCACCTTCTTATCGAGCAGCTGGTTCCATCAGCTCCTCCTCCTCCTCCTCCTCCTCCTCCTCCTCCTCCACTAAGGGAGGTGACTCAGAAATACCTAGTACATCGGGGTAGTTAGCATGGATGAAGCTAAAAACATCCCCAGGTCTGTTTGTGACGAGGGAACAATGTTGTAACGTGGTCAACACTTGCAGACCAACTCATTCAAACCAATGGAATTCTGAGAAATTACCCAAAAAATGTTTAGTTTTTCACTAGATTTGCTAAACGTTGGTCATTTATAAATAATGTTTTCAATCGGTCACTTTTAATTAGAGCTAAAGCTGTTAAATCTCACTGAAAAACAAAACTGTTTGTTAAAAGGCTAATGCTAAAGAAAAAATGCTAACTCCTAACAGTAAATATTGTGTTGCTATAGTAACCAGCACGGGTGGAAAACCAAGGTGAACCAGTCCAGGACCCCACAAAAGAGGACATTTTTCACATTTCAAAATAAAATATCATAAAAAAATATAATATATTATAAAAAGATATGTAATGAGTTTATTACAGTTTATTACTATTATTATCTATATTTAGAATGATCTATGTATTTATTTGTTTGCTTGTTTGTTTGGATGTGTTTCTGCTGCTGGACTCCTGCACTTTTCCAACAGGATCAATAAAGTGTCTGTCTGTAAACTAAGAACAGAAACAGATCTGACCAAACATGAGTAATTACACCAACTGAGTGACTGAGTTCTTAAAAACTCCAGCAATGTCCCGTTACATTTGGACCAGCTGCAGGAAGAGAAGTGTCATCTCCCCTGAGCAGTCCCGGGGCCAGTCCCAACGGGGGGGGGGGGGGGTGTGTGTGGGGGGGTGTTTTGGTTTGGGAGGTGTGATCTTCCGTGCAAACAACCGCAGGGTCTTCACGTACGCTCGGCCCCGGGCCCCCAGAGCTGCAGAGTGAGGGGGGCTGCTGCATTCCACAAACAAACACCTCGGAGCCGTTCTGCTCCTGTCAGTGTTAAATCAGAGTTTATTTCTTAAAGGAGCAGTATGTACAAATGTGGCCAAAAGTGGTACTGCAGCCTCTCCCACTCTCCCTGACTCAGGTTGCCAGATATGCAGACGAATGCAGCTGGGACCATAACAGCTGAATAGACAAGAGTTTTGTCAACAACAAATCTATAACCAACACCTTTTTCACAAAGATAGAAATCCTGCTTTTATTCCTTGTTTTGTCGTTAATGATTTGAGAATCATAACGAGACCTTATTTAGTTCTGCGCCACATGGTACTTTACCAGTGAGATTAGCTCCACGCGGTGAGTTCTGGCGCCCGGATCACGGACTTTCTGATTGGTGAAACGGTGGAGGGCGGGACATGGAAATGAAAACAATAACAAGATTTAGAGAAATTCTAATATCTCTGAACTACTGTTATCAGTTAAAGAAGTGTTGGAAAAGAGCAGATTATCATAATGACAGATTAGGGCCCTTTAATGATGACAGATTAGGGCCCTTTAATGATGACAGATTAGGGTCCTTTAATGATGACCGATTAGGGCACTTTAATGATGACAGATTAGGGCCCTTTAATGATGACAGATTAGGGCCCTTTAATTATGTCAGATTAGAGCCCTTTAATGACGACAGATTAGGGCCCTTTAATGATGACAGATTAGGGCCCTTTAATGATGACAGATTAGGGCACTTTAATGATGACAGATTAGGGCCCTTTAATGATGACAGATTAGGGCCCTTTAATGATGACATATTAGGGCCCTTTAATGATGACAGATTAGGGCCCTTTAATGATGACATATTAGGGCCCTTTAATGATGACAGATTAGGGCCCTTTGATGATGACAAAAAACAGGACACAAGGAATTACAATAATCATAGTTTTAACCTGGATTTGAACATTGTCAGAGAAGAAGAAATTCTCACAAAAAAGTCTAATATTTTTAAACAAACTTTGACGTAAAATTCTCTCAATAAATATAAAAACACACACAAAACAAATCATTCTATTTACATGAAAACAAACCCCAGCGGCTGCAGACTGTCAACTGTAAACATTACACCTCGGGACAAAGTCTCTGTTGTTCCAAAGGTGCTCAGACCCCGCCCCCCTCAGGCCCCGCCCCCTCTCAGACCCCGCCCCCAGCCCTGCAGACTGACGTGGATCAGCTGATTGTCCTGGAATGTTGTTGATAAAGACCTGATCCTAAAGGTGTTCTCTGCTGGATCCATGAAGCTTTACTTTAATCTGTAATCTGTAATCTGGATTAGAAACTACAGACTGGGATTAAAACATTCATTCATTATATTTATTTTAGACAAAGTTTAAGCAACTTTTCTTTCAATCAACAACAACAAAAACTATGTTCACATACAGAGAGAGTGTGTGTGTGTGTGAGAGAGAGAGACCAGAGAGAGACCAGAGAGAGACCAGAGAGAGACCAGAGAGAGAGAGAGACCAGAGAGAGACCAGAGAGAGACCAGAGAGAGAGACCAGAGAAAGACCAGAGAGAGAGACAGAGAGAGAGAGAGACCAGAGAGAGAGACAGAGAGAGAGAGAGAGAGAGAGACCAGAGAGAGACCAGAGAGAGACCAGAGAGAGAGACCAGAGAAAGACCAGAGAGAGAGACCAGAGAGAGAGACCAGAGAGAGACCAGAGAGAGAGACCAGAGAGAGAGAGAGAGAGACCAGAGAGAGACCAGAGAGAGACCAGAGAGAGAGACCAGAGAGAGAGACCAGAGAGAGAGACCAGAGAGAGACCAGAGAGAGACCAGAGAGAGAGAGAGAGAGAGAGACCAGAGAGAGACCAGAGAGAGACCAGAGAGAGAGACCAGAGAAAGACCAGAGAGAGAGACAGAGAGAGAGAGAGACCAGAGAGAGAGACAGAGAGAGAGAGAGAGAGAGACCAGAGAGAGACCAGAGAGAGACCAGAGAGAGAGACCAGAGAAAGACCAGAGAGAGAGACCAGAGAGAGAGACCAGAGAGAGACCAGAGAGAGAGACCAGAGAGAGAGAGAGAGAGAGAGACCAGAGAGAGACCAGAGAGAGAGACCAGAGAGAGAGACCAGAGAGAGAGACCAGAGAGAGACCAGAGAGAGAGACCAGAGAGAGACCAGAGAAAGACCAGAGAGAGACCAGAGAGAGAGACCAGAGAGAGACCAGAGAGAGAGACCAGAGAAAGACCAGAGAGAGGCCAGAGAGAGACCAGAGAGAGAGACCAGAGAGAGAGACCAGAGAGAGACCAGAGAGAGAGACCAGAGAAAGACCAGATAGAGACCAGAGAGAGACCAGAGAGACAGAGACCAGAGAGAGAGACCAGAGAGAGAGACCAGAGAGAGAGACCAGAGAGAGACCAGAGAGAGACCAGAGAGAGAGACCAGAGAAAGACCAGAGAGAGACCAGAGAGAGAGACCAGAGAGAGAGACCAGAGAGAGAGACCAGAGAGAGACCAGAGAGAGACCAGAGAGAGACCAGAGAGAGACCAGAGAGACAGAGACCAGAGAGAGACAGAGAGAGAGACCAGAGAGAGAGACCAGAGAGAGAGAGAAGAGAGAGACCAGAGAGAGACCAGAGAGAGACCAGAGAGAGAGACCAGAGAAAGACCAGAGAGAGACCAGAGAGAGAGAGAGAGACCAGAGAGAGACCAGAGAGAGACCAGAGAGAGAGACCAGAGAAAGACCAGAGAGAGAGACAGAGAGAGAGAGAGACCAGAGAGAGAGACAGAGAGAGAGAGAGAGAGAGACCAGAGAGAGACCAGAGAGAGACCAGAGAGAGAGACCAGAGAAAGACCAGAGAGAGAGACCAGAGAGAGAGACCAGAGAGAGACCAGAGAGAGAGACCAGAGAGAGACCAGAGAGAGACCAGAGAGAGAGACAGAGAGAGACCAGAGAGAGAGACCAGAGAGAGAGACCAGAGAGAGAGACCAGAGAGAGACCAGAGAGAGACCAGAGAGAGAGAGAGAGAGAGAGACCAGAGAGAGACCAGAGAGAGACCAGAGAGAGAGACCAGAGAAAGACCAGAGAGAGAGACAGAGAGAGAGAGAGACCAGAGAGAGAGACAGAGAGAGAGAGAGAGAGAGACCAGAGAGAGACCAGAGAGAGACCAGAGAGAGAGACCAGAGAAAGACCAGAGAGAGAGACCAGAGAGAGAGACCAGAGAGAGACCAGAGAGAGAGACCAGAGAGAGAGAGAGAGAGAGAGACCAGAGAGAGACCAGAGAGAGAGACCAGAGAGAGAGACCAGAGAGAGAGACCAGAGAGAGACCAGAGAGAGACCAGAGAGAGAGACCAGAGAGAGAGACCAGAGAGAGAGACCAGAGAGAGAGACCAGAGAGAGAGACCAGAGAGAGAGACCAGAGAGAGACCAGAGAGAGAGACCAGAGAGAGAGACCAGAGAGAGACCAGAGAGAGAGACCAGAGAAGAGACCAGAGAGAGAGACCAGAGAGAGAGACCAGAGAGAGAGACCAGAGAGAGACCAGAGAGAGACCAGAGAGAGACCAGAGAGAGAGAGACCAGAGAGAGAGACCAGAGAGAGAGACCAGAGAGAGAGACCAGAGAGAGACCAGAGAGAGACCAGAGAGAGACCAGAGAGAGAGACCAGAGAGAGACCAGAGAGAGACCAGAGAGAGAGAGACCAGAGAGAGAGACCAGAGAGAGAGACCAGAGAGAGACCAGAGAGAGAGAGAGAGACCAGAGAGAGACCAGAGAGAGACCAGAGAGAGACCAGAGAGAGAGACCAGAGAGAGAGACCAGAGAGAGAGACCAGAGAGAGAGACCAGAGAGAGACCAGAGAGAGACCAGAGAGAGAGACCAGAGAAAGACCAGAGAGAGACCAGAGAGAGACAGAGAGAGAGACCAGAGAGAGAGACCAGAGAGAGAGACCAGAGAGAGAGACCAGAGAGAGACCAGAGAGAGACCAGAGAGAGACCAGAGAGAGAGACCAGAGAGAGAGACCAGAGAGAGAGACCAGAGAGAGAGACCAGAGAGAGAGACCAGAGAGAGACCAGAGAGAGAGACCAGAGAGAGAGACCAGAGAGAGAGACCAGAGAGAGACCAGAGAGAGACCAGAGAGAGAGAGAGAGACCAGAGAGAGAGACAGAGAGAGAGAGAGAGAGAGAGACCAGAGAGAGACCAGAGAGAGAGACCAGAGAGAGAGACCAGAGAGAGACCAGAGAGAGAGACCAGAGAGAGACCAGAGAGAGACCAGAGAGAGAGACCAGAGAGAGACCAGAGAGAGAGACCAGAGAGAGACCAGAGAGAGACCAGAGAGAGAGACCAGAGAGAGAGACCAGAGAGAGAGACCAGAGAGAGAGACCAGAGAGAGACCAGAGAGAGACCAGAGAGAGAGACCAGAGAGAGAGACCAGAGAGAGAGAGAGAGAGAGAGAGACCAGAGAGAGACCAGAGAGAGAGAGAGAGAGAGAGAGAGAGAGACCAGAGAGAGACCAGAGAGAGACCAGAGAGAGAGACCAGAGAAAGACCAGAGAGAGAGACAGAGAGAGAGAGAGAGAGACCAGAGAGAGAGACAGAGAGAGAGACCAGAGAGAGAGACCAGAGAGAGAGACCAGAGAGAGAGACCAGAGAGAGAGACCAGAGAGAGAGACCAGAGAGAGAGACCAGAGAGAGAGACCAGAGAGAGACCAGAGAGAGAGACCAGAGAGAGAGACCAGAGAGAGAGACCAGAGAGAGACCAGAGAGAGAGACCAGAGAGAGAGACCAGAGAGAGAGACCAGAGAGAGACCAGAGAGAGACCAGAGAGAGACCAGAGAGAGAGACCAGAGAAAGACCAGAGAGAGACCAGAGAGAGACCAGAGAGAGACCAGAGAGAGAGACCAGAAAGAGAGACCAGAGAGAGAGACCAGAGAGAGAGACCAGAGAGAGACCAGAGAGAGAGACCAGAGAGAGAGACCAGAGAGAGACCAGAGAGAGACCAGAGAGAGACCAGAGAGAGACCAGAGAGAGAGACCAGAGAGACAGAGACCAGAGAGAGAGACCAGAGAGAGAGACCAGAGAGAGACCAGAGAGAGACCAGAGAGAGAGACCAGAGAGAGACCAGAGAGAGACCAGAGAGACCAGAGAGAGACCAGAGAGAGACTAGAGAGAGAGACCAGAGAGAGAGACCAGAGAGAGAGACTAGAGAGTCTCTTTTTAAACACAACTTTTTACATTTTCCACATTTGGAATGAGGTCCTGAGTCCTGAGTCCTGAGTCCTGAGTCCTGAGTCCTGAGTCCTGAGTCCTGAGTCCTGAGTCCTGAGTCCTCACTGGAATTCGCCTGGTGTTTATATTTCCCTCCACAGGGAAGGGGGACATGTGACTCCTCTCACACCCAGGCGGGCCGTCCCACACAGGCAGCCCTCCCATTGGCTCAGTCGGGTCACATGGGCCTTGAGACCAGAGAGAGAGACCAGAGAGAGACCAGAGAGAGAGACCAGAGAAAGACCAGAGAGAGACCAGAGAGAGACCAGAGAGACAGAGACCAGAGAGAGAGACCAGAGAGAGAGACCAGAGAGAGAGACCAGAGAGAGACCAGAGAGAGACCAGAGAGAGACCAGAGAGAGAGACCAGAGAAAGACCAGAGAGAGACCAGAGAGAGAGAGAGAGACCAGAGAGAGACCAGAGAGAGACCAGAGAGAGAGACCAGAGAAAGACCAGAGAGAGACCAGAGAGAGACCAGAGAGAGAGACCAGAGAGAGACCAGAGAGAGAGACCAGAGAGAGAGAGAGAGAGAGACCAGAGAGAGACCAGAGAGAGAGACCAGAGAGAGAGACCAGAGAGAGAGACCAGAGAGAGACCAGAGAGAGAGACCAGAGAGAGAGACCAGAGAGAAAGACCAGAGAGAGAGAGACCAGAGAGAGACCAGAGAGAGAGACCAGAGAGAGAGACCAGAGAGAGAGACCAGAGAGAGACCAGAGAGAGAGACCAGAGAGAGACCAGAGAAAGACCAGTGAGAGACCAGAGAGAGAGACCAGAGAGAGACCAGAGAGAGACCAGAGAGAGAGACCAGAGAGAGACCAGAGAGAGACCAGAGAGAGACCAGAGAAAGACCAGTGAGAGACCAGAGAGAGACCAGAGAGAGAGACCAGAGAGAGAGAGACCAGAGAAAGACCAGAGAGAGAGAGACCAGAGAGAGAGACCAGAGAGAGAGACCAGAGAGAGACCAGAGAGAGACCAGAGAGAGACCAGAGAAAGACCAGTGAGAGACCAGAGAGAGACCAGAGAGAGACCAGAGAGAGACCAGAAAGAGAGACCAGAGAGAGAGACCAGAGAGAGAGACCAGAGAGAGAGACCAGAGAGAGAGACCAGAGAGAGACCAGAGAGAGAGACCAGAGAGAGACCAGAGAGAGACCAGAGAGAGACCAGAGAGAGAGACCAGAGAGAGAGACCAGAGAGAGACCAGAGAGAGACCAGAGAGAGAGACCAGAGAGAGACCAGAGAGAGACCAGAGAGAGACCAGAGAGAGACCAGAGAGAGACCAGAGAGAGAGACCAGAGAAAGACCAGAGAGAGAGGAGACCAGAGAGAGAGACCAGAGAGAAAGACCAGAGAGAGAGAGACCAGAGAGAGACCAGAGAGAGAGACCAGAGAGAGAGACCAGAGAGAGACCAGAGAGAGACCAGAGAGAGAGACCAGAGAGAGACCAGAGAGAGACCAGAGAGAGAGACCAGAGAGAGAGACCTCCTGAGTCCTCACTGGAATTTGCCTGGTGTTTATATTTCCCTCCACAGGGAAGGGGGACATGTGACTCCTCTCACACCCAGGCGGGCCGTCCCACACAGGCAGCCCTCCCATTGGCTCAGTCGGGTCACATGGGCCTTCCCCCCCTCCTCCCCCCACACTCCCCTACACTCACTGCTCTCCGCTGTCTGGGCACTCGCTCTGGGAAGTCTGCTCCGGAGCTGTCTGCTCCGGAGCTGTCCTGAAGCTAGCGGCCCCTGTGATGTTCAGGGAGGTCTCGGAGAGCGCAGACCGGACCGAGTGGGGGAGGACGGAGCGCGGGCAGAGGCGGCGCTCCGGGTACCGGCTGGGACGCATCAAAGCCCGCCAGCTGCTGCTCCACCGCATCGCTGCAGGTGAGATCAGAACCTTTGGACAGTGGCCTCAGCGCAGGGGCCTCGTTCTGTACGCTCTGACTTTGTGTTGTTTAAACCAGAACTCCCAGAGCAGTCAATTTGACGGCTTCGGTTTGGTTGGAAGTGAAGTGTGTGTTTTTGGTCTTCATAACTTTGACTTTTGCTCAATCTATATGTGGTTTATTATGTCATTATGTTGTATGTATGAAATTATCTTGATCCTTCTTCACAGGAGCAAATGCTAGTTACCATAGCAACACAATAACTCTGCTACCAAATATCAAGAGAGTGACCAGAGAGAGAGTGACCAGAGAGAGACACTAGAAAGAGAGACCAGAGAGACACCAGAGAGAGAGAGAGAGAGAGAAAAGAGACACCAGAGAGACACCAGAGAGGGAGAGAAATGAGAGAGACCAGAGAGACAACAGAGAGAGACCAGAGAGAGAGAAGAGAGACTTCCGAGAGAGAGACCAAAGAGACAACAGAGAGAGAGAGAGAGAAAAGAGACACCAGAGAGACACCAGAGAGGGAGAGAAATGAGAGAGACCAGAGAGAGAGAAGAGAGACTTCCGAGAGAGAGACCAAAGAGACAACAGATAGAGAGACCAGATAGACACCAAAGAGAGAGAGAGAGAGACCAGAGAGACAACAGATAGAGAGACCAGATAGACACCAGAGAGAGAGAGAGAGACCAGAGAGACAACAGATAGAGAGACCAGATAGACACCAGAGAGAGAGAGAGAGACCAGAGAGATACCAAAGCTGGCCAGAACATGTAACTTCCGCACAGCTTTAAAGGAGACAGAATGTGAGATAATTCTTCCGCAGTATACGTACTTTGATCCCGACTTCAGAGAAATCTGTTGAATTCTGTGTTTTTCCTGTTCAGAACTGTTTCCATGACAACAGACCTTGGGGTTAGTGTTGTTTTTTTGAGGAGAAACTCAGCTGCTAATTGGTCGACCAAAAAGAGAATTATTGATTTATGTCCATGGCCTTCACCATTTTGTGAATAATTGAAAGTCACTGCATAACTCTGCCACCAATTATCAAGAGAGACCAGAGAGAGAGAGATCAGAGAAAGAGAGAGAGAGACCAAAGCGAGAGAGACCAAAGCGAGAGAGACCAAAGCGAGAGAGACCAGAGAGAGAGAGATCAGAGAGAGACTTGAGAGGGAGACCAGAGAGAGAGAGACCAAAGCGAGAGACCAGAGCAAGAGACCAGAGAGAGACTTGAGAGAGAATCCAGAGAAAGAAACCAGGGAGAGACCAGAGAGAGAGACCAGAAAGAGAGACCAGGGAGAGACCAAGTCACCAGAGAGAGAGAGACCAGAGAGAAAGACCAATGAGGGAGAGACCAGAGTTGGCCAGAACACGTCCTTTTCGCTAATCGTTGTCCAGGTCATTGATTTGATCGGGCAGACATCTTGGAAACCCAGGTTTGCACCTCCTTCGGCCATCTTGGAAAACTCTAAACTCCCTATATAAGAATTAAACATTCTCCAGGAACTACACAGTACAGAAAATGTCAAATAACCGATTTCTACTTTTTGGAAATATGAAAAAGCCTGTATTTCCAGACACTCGACCCGGGAGTCAATTTCAGGTTTGGAAAAACTGTCCGTATTCCAGAAATATTTGACTGTAATCAGCTGTCTGCCAAATGTATGAGAACAATTATAGATATTAGCTTTTATGAGCCTGGCTTTGTGGCTGCGGCAAAAATGCAGAAGGAATGAGGCCTGTTGTCTGTGCTCTAGGACTCGCTCAGCGGAGAATGTGTCTGAAGTAACAGTTTGTGTGGATTCGAGATTAGCTCCAGAAACGGCTGCTCGTTCTATAAAAAGATCTTTAAAGATTGGGAAAAGTTGCTAAAGTTTCAAGGTTACAATCGCGAATGACAGGATTTTTCAGAGATATTTGTTCTTGTAGCGACGGGAGCTGGTCTGACGCAGTGTACAGTATAGGTGGAAAGAATAGCCCTGCTTCTAAGTTCACAAATACAGGCGTTGAGTGGTTAGCCATGCTTCTAAGTTCATGAATACAGGCGCGGAGTTGTTAGCCATGCTTCTAAGTTCACGAATACAGGGGTGGAGGGGTTAGCCATGCTTCTAAGTTCATGAATACACGTGTAGAGTGGTTAACCATGCTTCTAAGTTCATGAATAGAGGTGTGGAGTGGTTGGCCATGCTTCTAAGTACACAAATACAGGCGTTGAGTGGTTAGCCATGCTTCTAAGTTTACAAATACAGGGGTAGAGTGGTTAGCCATGCTTCTAAGTTCATCAATACAGGCGTGGAGTTGTTAGCCATGCTTCTAAGTTCATGAATACACGTGTAGAGTGGTTGGCCATGCTTCTAAGTTCATGAATACAGGCTCTGAGTTGGTTAGCCATGCTTCTAAGTTTACAAATACAGGGGTGGAGTGGTTAGCCATGCTTCTACAGTAAGTTCATGAATACAGGTGTGGAGTTGTTAGCCATGCTTTTGATTCCTCCATACAGGTGTGAGTTGGTTAGCCATGCTTCTAACATGGTTCCTTTCCATGTGACTGTGTTTTTGTGACTGTCTCTGGTACAAATGACACCGTGACAGATTCTGACAGATTCACGGCTGAGTTCAGGTCAAATTCAGGCCTAAACAACAACACTTGTTAGCTGCACAAGCCCCATGCATTTAACAAGTGCATTCAAAAGTCCACAGCGGCTAAACTAGACTGGTCCAAAACACAATCCTCCCCTCAGCATCCACAGCATCTGGGACGTAGCTTTGGGCCAAGAGCCACTTTTGGACAATTCTGTAAAGACGTTTTTGAGCGGGAAGAATTTGTTGTAAGAATTGACTGGATCATTCTGTTTCCGGGTACACCCCCACCGTCAGATTACAGGCATGTCAGCGCTCGTGCTCATGGAGCCTTTTTAGCTGGTCCCACTGGTCTTCACTGATTATGCCCAGCTACTTCTCAGACGTTGATCCCAGTGCATCACAGCGCCACCTACAGGCCTGGCATAGTCATCAGGCCTATTGGCTTCATTCATTTGGACGCAATCATTTACTGAGCTGACTCCGTGTTTACAGAAACATTTTGACTTTAGCTTTAATCTTAAACTGTGGTGCTGCCTGCAGGTGAAAGCCAGATCCTGTCAGACCCTTGAAGCTAAGCGGGGCAGGGCCTGGTTAGTATTGTGATGGGAGACAACAGGGAATGCCAGGTGAAACAGTGGGGCGGCTGTAAAGTGTCCTTAGGCAAGACACTTCACCCCCATTGCCTAGAATGAGTCTGGTGTGTGTGTGTGTGTGTGAATGGTTGGTGGTGGTGGGAGGGGCCGATGGCACAGACTGGTTGCCTCGCTTCTGTCAGTGTGCCCCAGGGCAGCTGTGGCTTCAGTTGTAGTTTATGACCACCGTGTTTGGAGTGAAAGAATAATGAGATGTGCGGCGTCTTTGAGAGTCCGAAATATAATCCCTACGTTCTTCCATTCCCACACATCTACGACGAGACGAACCTTCCAGAACAAACCGTGCCGTTGCCAGAGTTCCTTCCGTCTCATAAAAGTTGAAACGTGACTGTGCTGTTGCTTCAGTATTTACCAGCTGTAAACCAATAACCACAGTGTGTTATCTGCATATTTCTGCTGTTGCATAAGAGCCGCAACAATGAACAGATAAGAAGGCTGTATTTATGTACCACTGCTACGTACCACTGCTACGTACCACTGCTACGTACCACTGCTACGTACCACTGCTACGTACCACTGCTACGTACCACTGCTACGTACCACTGCTACGTACCACTGCTACGTACCACTGCTACGTACCACTGCTATGTACCACTGCTACGTACCACTGCTACGTACCACTGCTACGTACCACTGCTATGTACCACTGCTACGTACCACTGCTACGTACCACTGCTACGTACCACTGCTACGTACCACTGCTACGTACCACTGCTACGTACCACTGCTACGTACCACTGCTACGTACCACTGCTATGTACCACTGCTACGTACCACTGCTACGTACCACTGCTACGTACCACTGCTATGTACCACTGCTACGTACCACTGCTACGTACCACTGCTACGTACCACTGCTACGTACCACTGCTACGTACCACTGCTATGTACCACTGCTACGTACCACTGCTATGTACCGATGCTGAGACCACATGGTATTGGACCAAAGGGAGAGACCACATGGTATTGGACCAAAGGGAGATACCACATGGTATTGGACCAAAGGGAGAGACTACATGGTATTGGACCAAAGGGAGAGACCACATGGTATTGGACCAAAGGGAGAGACTACATGGTATTGGACCAAAGGGAGAGACTACATGGTATTGGACCAAAGGGAGAGACTACATGGTATTGGACCAAAGGGAGAGACCACATGGTATTGGACCAAAGGGAGAGACCACATGGTTTTGGACCAAAGGGAGAGACCACATGGTATTGGACCAAAGGGAGAGACTACATGGTATTGGACCAAAGGGAGAGACCACATGGTATTGGACCAAAGGGAGAGACTACATGGTATTGGACCAAAGGGAGAGACAACATGGTATTGGACCAAAGGGAGAGACTACATGGTATTGGACCAAAGGGAGAGACCACATGGTATTGGACCAAAGGGAGAGACTACATGGTATTGGACCAAAGGGAGAGACAACATGGTATTGGACCAAAGGGAGAGACTACATCATGGACGTCGGAACTATTTTCTGAGAGGGGGGGCGGGTTTTTGTTGGGAGAGTCGAGGGAGAGACTCATACTTGGATTACACTGGATAATAACATACCATCTTAATTGTTAAGAAAAACAAAATAAACAATATATATCAAGCAAGTCACTTATCAAACTGAACTTTTTTTTTTTCAATACGCATTCATGCGTCAGTCTCTCCGGTGGCTTCATTGTGTTGTGTAGCCCAGTGACGTGCGGTCAGATGAGGCAGGCAAGGCCCTCACCTAAGATCATAGAAAGAAAAGTAATAAAATGGATACAATAATGTTTGGTCACTTTATCAAGTGATTTGTGCTGTGCCTTATTTCATTTATTTATACCTTGAAATCGCAGATTTGACAGAGCGGCGCTGTGAGGCGAGCCTCTCTTGGGAGACGTAAAAAGCAACAGTTCACAGGGAGAGTCCTGTGAGGTGCTATCAAACTGTTTTCTCTGTTTATCACAGTTTAAAAAGTTCAAAAATATTTAATTTACAATCAACATGTTTACATTTAAGAGGATGGCTCATAAATTGTGTTTTTGAAGCAAATATGGGTCTTAATCGCGCTCAACCACAGCTTGTAAGTGAGGAAAGCCTCAAGGGGGCGCTTGTGAGCCCAAACTTTGGCTGCATCCAATTCCATCAGAAAGCTCCTTTCTTGTTCTTTTCTGCTAAGGGCAGCTACAGGTTTGGCTAACATACCTATAATACATTTTAAGATAATTTAAAATGCACTTAGAGTAATGTTTTGCTTCCAATGATGATATGAATCATAAGAAAAGGAGGTGAAGGGTAAGGTTGAATTTAGAAATTGGATTTACCCGGGAGTCGGCTGCAGCAAAACTCGGAGTTTACGGAGGAGACACCCGTTTTTTTTACTTTTTAAAACTCATTGAACTTATTTCCAAATGGAGGATTACATGTCTGTGCCCAAACTATTATCTGGACTTAAACATGAAACTGGTCCTAACTGAAGTGGTCTGTGCTGTTCATTAATACCTAAGGTATAGGCCCATAACACACTTTTTACTTTTTACAAACGTTTGCGTTTTGTATGAGAAAACAATGCAGACATTAAATCATATTCTGCTGTAGCCAAACAAATTGTGTATAAGCCGCTCCTGTTCCTGTAGGTCCTGTTGGTTTATATGATGTATAATATGAACACATGATTGAT